ATACAGGGTGTCTTCATTCATCCAGGTTTTGGAATTGCGAAACATTTTTTAACTACGAATACTGATAAATATTCATAATTTCATTACTACTTTCTGAAGTATGTGATTTGTTTCAGAAAATAGTAGTGAAATAATTTCCGAATTATAAGTGTCCTTGAACTATTAGGACTAAAAATCCTTTCTATGACTAGCAATGGACAGAAGCATTTCTAATGCTTAATTATGATAACCTTCAAGAAGCATATACTTTCTATACATTATGTGAGTGAAATTATATTGACATAGTTAAGAATAAAACTAAAGGTGATATCTGAATAGAAAACAACTCACCCACGAACTCAACCTTCCACACTCTATGTGGTAATGCTAGGGTTTCAGAAGTAAGTAGTGGCAGTTTGCTAACCATTTGACCAAAAACTGATTTCATTCCATCTACACCAGCCAAACCTCCTCGAGATCTTGATCTTTTCACCTAATCAAAAAATATTTGGTTTTAAAAATAAAATAAGTAAACAAGATTTTACAAAAATTGAGTCATTATAAAACACTGAGTATCAAAGTGAGATCGATGGCTCTTTATATTTAAATGTTTCTTATATCTTATAATCAATCAGATCATTACAGTAAAATTTCAAAGAAAAATCAGCAACAAGAATTGATATAACAGCACCGTTGCCAACTACATCATTGTAATACATAACATCAGGTATTTGAAATGAGTCACAAATAACCGAAGACTTAAAANTGCATTCCCGCATTTTATACAAACTGTAACACCAACTAGTTTGGATTAACAACATTGAAAAGTGTTACTGTTTGCTCTTTTATCACAGAGCTCATTACCAGCTTGTTGCTGGTCAGCCATCTTGAATTTTCGTACTGGTAGAACTTTCCCCGTGTTTAACAGATCAAGATATTCTCCTTTTATTCATGAAAAATTAATCAAGTAAGTAAGTAGTTGAATCAAAACTAATAAAAGTCTTTTCAACAAGAATGCGGGGACACCACCCACCTCAGCTGAATATTTTCAATTGCACAATGAGCAAAGGCATTAATTGCTATTTAAATTGAAAGGAGTATATTTTTAGAAAGTTCCTGGAAAAAAAGCTTGGTAGGAAACTTTCAAAGGAAGGGAGAAAGCTATTAAGTTTGAAATAAACTCTACAAAGATGTGAAGATCATTCATAGAAGTTACTTTCAGTGACCAAACGGAAGAAAAGGCCCTCCCAAAATATCTACTTTCACAAAAAAATAGTTTCAAAAGAGCTACTTTCATATGAACATTGAAATATATGAAAATCACTTTTTTCTATTCAGTTTATACTCCAAGTTAATGAGTCTTTTCATCAAGTAACGGGACAGTCCATTCATGATAGGTATTAGAATTGGAAGAGTATCTTTTAACCTCAGTAAATCTTTCAATCTATTGCTACTCTATTGCTACTATTGCTACTCAATCAACTAAATACGTTTATTGGTTGGATTAATTCAAATGATTTGGTTTAAGTTGGTCTTGCCCCTATTATAGGCATATGCCTTTTCAGGGGCACCACAGGCGAGCTCTTTATCCACTCGTATTTATAATTTTAGAGAGTGTGGTGAGGATGTTAGGGTGATAGTGGGGGTGATGGTGGGTGAAAGTGAGGATGGTGGTGGCGGCAGGGTGTCCATGCGAACACAACAGAAAAGGAGATAGTATACGGGTCAACAGAACTTGGCATCCAATACTCAAGAAGACCAGATATTACCCAGAAAGCGAAATCCTACCAGCAGCATATCTGTCAACAATGTGGACCAATCAGAACAACCAAGTAACGGTGTGGATCACTCAGAGCAATTCAGCAAAAGTGATGGGTTGCAGACCCAATTTTTGTGTTTATTCTTCCTTATTTCTTTTTACTCTGTGGTCATTTTCATGACACAATGTGTGTGTGTACACGTGTGCGTACGCATATATACCCGTTTATATGTGTGTATATGTATAAATGTGTATAAGTTTAAATATATCTCGAATTTGTTTCTGTACCTATATGTTTATATGAATATTCGTGTGCATATGTGTATGAGTGTTTGTAGTGTTGTTATATATGTACTAGAACTGGAATTTTGTTACCTGAAGAGACTTAAAATATTGCACCCGATTAAGACTTCTACCATATATTGACTTAAGTAAACCCGATTGTGACACAATTTTATAATATACTTGTGTATGTAAATATGTATATGTGTGTATTTATATATGTACATGTATATATGTATGTGTATATGTATGTATATATAAATGAACTATTAAATGAATTATCGAAATGTCAGAACATATCCATGCTAATATTTGTTAATGATTGTATATAATAATTGCTGCTTCATGTATTTTTCT